GAGAGAGAGAGAGAGAGAGAGAGAGAGAGAGAGGGAGAGAGAGAGGGTATTGCTTGCCTCCAATTCTGACTGTGCTTACCTTCTTTCAAAAAAGACCTAGTTTTCTGACATATTACCTTGGGCATATAATATTGGCCAGATTATTGTACCGATATGGTCCCAAAAGAAGGATACATTCATTTGTGGACTTATGTTATGTTTTCTGATGTATTTTCTTATTGACATTGTTTATAGTTGATTAAGATACTAATATGTGCTCTTGCTGTATCACTTGGCGACTCCTCATAGTTCGCCTACCATCTTCACCTGAAAAGAACGCCCGGTCATTATCATTGTATCTGGACTGACAGTTTCACGGAATACAGCTATAATGACCGGGCTTTCTATTCGGTTGAAGATGGTTGTGTTTACTGTGTGGCGGTTTGAAGTGCTATGTTTTTGGACGAGGTGACGCCATACTGGCAACCTTTTGCTTGTTCAGCAATCCTCCTACCCTGTTCTCCTCCTACCCCATTCTCCACTTTCTTATCCACACCAGTACAAGACAAGACGAGGTGACGCCATTCTGACAAGGTCACAACATCCATTCTCCATGCAAGTCCATAATGTTTGGAATAGTTTGGTGGGCTGTTTTGTTGCAGGTAGCGTTTTGCAGAATGAGTAGTACAAGGAGGATGAGAACAAGGGTCAGAAATCTCAGAGAAAGGTGGCATGAAGAGGTGGAGATGTGCTCTTTGCACCGGCTTGCAGTGGGGCAGTGAGTGGAGAAAGGAAGTCCGTTGCATGAGGAGAGAGAGGAAGTGCAGCATCGGAGACAGAAGTGCAATTTGTACTCGTTGACGTCCATGTGCGGCGGGCAGGCGTTGGCAAAATGGAGGACATTCACCGGCGCTCGATGAAGTCGATGCACGTGTCAACGAAACAGTGCAAAACGGACGGGTTCTTTCAAACATCCGGCTGAGTCAAAGGAGACCGTAAGACAGCGCTGAAGGATTTAGGAGCCTAAAAAACCAGTAGTACACCCAGGCCTGGTGGCGCTGCACTGCGCGGCAAGCTTCGCCGAACCGCCAAGCGGCACACTTCTTTTCTTTTTTTGGCTGGCGCCACCAGCCATTGAGGTCCGGTAGCTCCGACCCTCTGGAATTTTAGGAGTAGGCGATGAAGAAATCTTGCAAGGCTGGGGCCGTGTACTGGCGGCTTAAGCACACTGTAATTTAAGCTTCGGCTCTCGGGTCTTCTACTCTCCGTCGATTGCTGAAAGGAGTGCTGGAAGGAGTGCAGAGCCTCTCAAGTCTCTGTAAGAGTTCCAAAGCGGCAAACATGGAGGAGTTCGACCGCCACATGGAGGAGTTGAAGAATCTGGTCACAAAAGCATTGGAAAAGAAGGGGGTGCTTTCAAAGATCCGGGTGAGTGAAAGAGTCATCGAGGTGTCTTACCGGCACCTCCGAGCCTCCTTTTCCTGGCCCGGATTTGTGCTGCGCGCCCATTAAAAAGCGAACCACTAAAGCACATTTTTTCCCCCTTTTGGCTGTTGCAACCAGTCAAAGATGTCTGCCAGGCTGAGCCCCTGAAAATCGCAATCGTACACAAATGCATCGGAACACACAAAGGATGAAGTTCTAACTGTGATCATTTTGTGACACTTTGTGACACTGTGTGACAATGTGTGACAATGTGTGGCACTGTGTGACATTGTGTGACACGGTGTGACACTGCGGCATGATATTACAGGTTGACAGGTAATGAGTATGATCTCTACCTTATTACCTCCTTCCTGCGGCCATATTGGCCCGTAATCATGACTGCCTTTGGACTGGAATTCGTATACGTTCATGATGATGGGGTGTAATGTGTGGAAGGAGAAGGTGGTAGTGGACCTGGGGGGTACACCGCTTGGAGCATGGTACGCTGTCTTGTGTGTGGCAGAAACTGGGGCACAGCACCGGAACACATTGATTTTTTTTTTTTTTACCACTGCCCGAGAAGTCAGAATAAAATGTTAAATCATGAAACACACTCCCGCTTCCTTCCGTCTGGCCAAAGGAACCCTGACCAGCATTGATTACTCCAGCGTCGTGGAGGATTGACTGTCAGCTTGCCTTACTTCCAGCTTTCCTCTCAGGTCCACTGCATGAACGTGTCAGATAAATGATAAAGAGCAAGAAAGGTAAAAGAAGCTACGGAGGATGCAATCTCGGACATTGCCCTTCAAAATTACATGGCCTGTGATGGGTCTTGTCCATCTGCTGGCTGGGATCTCTGCCTTCTCCACCCTGCTTCTGAGTTGTGCCAGTCTTTCTACCGCATGCGAAAGTCATTATCTCTGCTACTTTGCCCCCTGCAAGCCACACCTTAGTGAATGTTGCCTTGATTCTTCTCTGCTGCTCTTCGTCATCTGGAATGGACTGTCTCGTCTTATGCCACTTACACAGAATCTCTGCCTGAATCAAGGTCCTTGTCTCCGCCCATACCTTCTCCCTTGGAGTTAGAGTCCAACAAGTTTTTTGCATGACATTTTAATGCTAAGCAGACCATAATTAATCAAACCTCTCTCTCTCTCTCTCTCTCTCTCTCTCTCTCTCTCTCTCTCTCTCTCTCTCTCTCTCTCTCTCTCTCTCTCTCTCTCTCTCTCTCTCTCTCTCTCTCTCTCTCTCTCTCTCTCTCTCTCTCTCTCTCTCTCTCTCTCTCTCTCTCTCTCTCTCTCTCTCTCTCTCAGCTCACATGGCGTACTATTCTTTCGCCTTTTATAAAACATTGAATATTTAAAAAGTTTAAAACTTGAAAAAGTTGAAAAGAGTTCCACTTACCCAAGACTTCACAGATTTTAAGATTGTGCCATCAGCAAAGATCAATGTCGGGAGAGGATTTCAGGGACCTCGCCCCGGACACAATATTTCCTCGAGTCTTTTTTCTTTTTCTTTCTCAGAAATTGCTGATGGAAATGGAGGAATTCATGAGGCTATTCCCAGTGTACAGTGCAGTGTGTTTTTCTTTTTTCTTTTGACTTTCTTATCTGTTTTTTTTTTTTTTTTACACTAGCAGCAGCAGCGCTCCCGCAACTTTGCAAATGAACAACTGTGTCCGTTGCTGCGCTGTAGCAGCTAAATATAGGAATTGGACTTTGCTTGGCCTGCCTCAGACCGGTACCGGTCATCCACAGCCTCTGTTACAGTCCGGAAGTTTCCCGGACTTTCTTGGGACTTGCTGCAATTTTTGTGGACTTGGGGACTGGACTTCGACCTTCCGGACTTTTCTGTGGGGTACCGTACTGACTCTACCCCGACCTAACTTTTCCGGATGTGTCCTAACTCGGACCCACGACGCGTCACTGGCCTATCGGACCTACCGTACGTGAAGCTGAGGCTAAGGACTAAGGACTTCAGAACTTTCTGGACTTTTGGAGATTTGATGCCAGCTTTCAGGGGTCTGCGCCGTGAAATCCTTTCTTTTTTTTCTTTTTTTTTTAAAGTCACAAAGTACTACACCCTCATCGAAGTCTCCTCCGCTCTTGTGATATAAATCAACAATAACACATATAAAAAAAAGATGAATCAATGCTTCATCCTTTTTCAAACCATAACATTATTTTTTCTCCTCCGTTTTCATTATCTCCTTTCAAACCACCAGTTTCACCTTATGAGGAAAAGGAGAGGCACAGTGTAGCACTCCATAGCTGTGGTATCATTCTTTAAAAAAAAAAATTCAACACAGTTTAATCCTTGCTTGAAAGAAATGGGGCAGGCCACCCCGCATAAGGCCGGGTCTGGGAACTTTACCCAGTGTTATGCTTTTGACGGGACCCGCCGAGGACCCGAGAACAGGGATACCTTCCTTAAAACTACCGCACTGTTTTTCCTATGCTTAAGCGCTGAACCCTAAACCCTATCTTCTGCCTACTTTCTGTCTGCTTTCTGTCCTACTCTTCAGCTTCTCCATCTCCGCTTGCTTTAAATAATGCTAGTTTTTGTTGCTTTATGAGTCTTTATCCCTTTTTTTTTTTTTTCTAATTTGAACAGGGGTGGTTGGGCGGGAGGGTGGTGGTGGGGGGGTTGCGGTTGGCGTCAGCCCGTAGGGCCGAGGCCGGGCGCGAGCGCGAATTAGCGAGCGCTAAAATTTTGCGCTTACCAATGGTGCACTTTCTTATCTGTTTTATTAGTGAAAGGTACGTTTTCTTATCGATGGCACTTTTTTTTTTTTTTAATACGGGCCAACTGCCCAAGGCAATCATTGCTTTTTTTTTTTTTTTTTTTTTTTTTTTTCCTCGGTGMAAAAACCGGATTGAAAATTCAAGGGCCGCAAGGCCYCCMCCCTACATCCCAGTCAGAGCGGCTCCCCTCTAGAAAGTTAACAAAACTACAAACAAAAAAAACAAAAAATCTAGAAAACATCTAAACCACCAACCAGAATTCCTACGGAAAAGCCAAAACAGGAATACTTCTTAAAAATACAAGTTGGTATTCCTAAAAATACAACTCAATAGGGAGGGGCAAACCTTGTTTCTTCTTAGTTGTTTTCTTTCCTTGTCTCTCTCTCTCTCTCTCTCTCTCTCTCTCTCTTTATTTCCTCAGAAGGCCAGAGGCCAGTTTTTCCATTTCTGAACGTAAGGGGGTATTCTTGTCCGGTTACGCAGGCTTCTTTCTACTGCATTTTACATTAAACCATCGGTAGGTTTCCCAGCTATTTTTTCGGAGTCGCAGCGCTCATGCGGCTGCAACCCTCGAGAAGCACCGGGGTGCCAGTTCCATCTAGGCAAAACGGGTCGCATGCAAGGCCCTTTTTGCCTGGATGAATGTCCAGCAAAACGGCACCCCTGCACTCCCCTTGAGTCATGGCAGCATGCACGCCGCGCCTCTGAAAAAATGCCTGGGAAACGTACTGCTGGTTTAAACCATCAGTCACTCCAAGACTCTCTTGTCCGATGCACTATGCTACACTGCCCTGAAAGAATGGAACCGCCACTCACGCGCCTTTTGCCAGCCATATCCAGCTCTTTCCCGCCGAGAGGCCCAAACAGCGATTTCTGCGCCGTGTTAACCCACACGTCGGAACGGGGCGCCAGGGAAATAGACTGGTGATAATATGACCGCAATATTACGGTAATAATCTGGGCTACCAGCCGGGCCGCCCGGGTCACCGTTTTTGATCGGGCGGCCCGGCCGTGCCAGGGCCAACGAAGGGCCCAGCAAAAAAAAAAAAAAAAAACTGAAAAAAAAACATGTGATGCACAAAAATATAAACTGAACAACGTTAGCCTCAGGGTCACATCGAAGTTCTCTACCAAATTTGAAATAAAGCATAAAATAACTATTTTAGTATTTTTACTTTTTTATTTTTTAGTTTTTCTTTGCCTGGCTGGGCAACTTGCCCCAGGCCACTCTGGTACCCCAGGTAACATTGAGTTTCAGTATTATTATTTATTTATTTCACTTGTCATTAACTTATTACAGTTATTTATTTAATATTGACTCCATGATGAATATGGCAATTAGCCATCTTATAACATGTCCTGGTCGTAATTGCCTTTTTTTTTATGTCCTGGTCATAATTGTCTATGGCTCGTCCCTTTCGTTTTCAACGACTGCTGCTGCAACCGCTTTCATGGCGGCTGCGCTTGGTGTTAGAGTGAGGGGGGGAAGTCATGTGTGGTGCAGGCTGAGCTGAGGGCGAACATCTTTGAAACTATCGAGGAGCAAGATGACGACACGTCAGGAGATGACGACAGCAACAGAGGGCTTGCGGACGTGCTCAGCGGTTGCAATCAACAGTCGAAGGCATTGCATGCTAGTCCTTTGGGTACTGATTCTCCACCTGAAATGCACTTCCTACCTACGCCCTTGATACAGCCCTAAGGCATGACATGGTAGTCCTTTGGGTACAAATTCTCCCACCTGCGATGCAACCTCCCATCCACGCCCTCAATACAGTCCTAAGGTCTCTTTACGAGTCTTTAGCCCCCTCTGTATGGTAGTCCTTTGGGTACAAATTCGCCACCTGCGGTGCAACCTCCCATCCACACCCTCGACACAGTCCTAAGGTCCCCTGAGCCCCCTCTGTAAGCACAGTTCCAACAGTTGCAGGTAATCCTCAGGGTACAAATTATCCACCTGCAATGCGCTTGCCATTTACGCCCTTGATACACTCCTAGGGTCCCCTGAGCTCGCTCCCCCTGTAAACGGAATCCCTATTCTCAGTGACCCCAGTCCCCTGCCCTTTCTTCTGCCTCACTCTGCCCTGCCCTTCACCCCCCCTCACCCTCCCTCATCCCCCCTCACTGCCCTCTTTGAGCTCTCCCACCACCTCGCCAAAGAGACAAAAAGTTACCGCCTCATAGATGAAAGTTCATGAAACCCTTGATTAATGCAGCAATGATTCTTTCGAAACCCACTTCGTTTCACCCCTTCAGCGTGCCTGTGTGCAGCTCCCATTATGTATAACCCCTACCGTCTTCACCCGAATATGACACCCGGTCATTATAGCTGTATTTGGAGCAAGTTTCAGTCCAGACGCAGCAAATAATGACCGGGCGTTCTATTCGGGTGAAGATGGTAGTCAGGCTGGTATCCATGCATTCCTTTTATTCACTCACTGCCTGACTGCAGCCACCATTATGTAGTATGTACCCTCAACTCCTGTCTTCGCCCACATTGAACACTCGGTCATCACACCTGTATTTGGGCCAACTTTCAGTCCAAATGCAGTGATAATGGCCAGGCGTTCTATTGGGGTGAAGATGGTAGGTGGTATTAGAGGTTGGTACCTCTGCACTCCTTTTATTCACCTATTTTATACCCCCACCACTACCGTCTTAACCTGAAAACAAGGTACGTACCTTGTATTCAAGTTACCTCCGAAAAACGGGTTCTAAGAAGTCGCTGTTAAATTTTCAAATAGAAGGTACACCTTGTATTCGAGGTGTGCCTTGTAACTGTCACGTAGCTCTCTCTCTCTCTCTCTCTCTCTCTCTCTCTCTCTCTCTCTCTCTCTCTCTCTCTCTCTCTCTCTCTC